ATTATTATTATTATTATTATTATTTAAATTTTGGGATCATTGGGAGCAAAAGCATTCCTTTTTAATAAAAGGAAGGAACTGCGAGATTGTATTCAACATGATCATTTCCCTCAGATAATATGCGAATAGGCCTAGGTACAGAAGAGTTGCTTTTATGTGTATCATGTCCAGACCCGCAAGAGGATTTTGGCTTGATGTAACCAAATTGAAATATCTTTCAGTGGCACTGATTTCCAAAGGAAGGAATTAGGAATCCTATTTCTTAATTCTTTCCCATTTTAAACAGGTGAAATTTGAAGATGCTTGGCTTGGCTTGGCTTGGCTTGGCTTGGCTTGGCGTGGCTTGGCTTGGCTTGGCTTGGCTTGGCTTGGCTTGGCCCGGCCCATTCTCCTGATAAGTTCAGCCAACTGACACCAGTGTCTAAATGCATTTATTTGGAAGCCCCGGTGATTTCAGTAAAACCTATTTTGAAGCAAGTGTTTTTAGGAAGGTAGAATAGAAATACAGCATAGAGTTAAATTAAATTATGCTGCTTTAAAGGAATGGCATTAATGTTTTAATGAGAACATAAAGAGAGCCAGTCTTGTCTAGTGTTAAGGCAGAAGGCTAGAATCCAGGAGACTGTGAGTTTTAGTCCCAGCTTAGGCATGAAAGCCAGATGGGTGACTTTGGGCCAGTCACTCTCTCTCAGCCCAACTCACCTCACAGGGTTATTGTTGTGGGGAAAATAGGAGGAAGGAGTATTAGGTGTGTTTTCCGCCTTGAGTTATTTATAAAAATAATAAAGGAGGGATAAAAAAAATCTAAAAAAAAAAGGCTGAAACTACCCAAAAGCTTTCAGTTTTAATGCTTCACTGTTAAAATCTTCCTATACTTTTTAATTCCACTGGAAGAAGGACAAAGAATGACATTCTGATACATTGAAATGGGGGGGGGGGTTGTTGGCCATTGATCAAATTTTCTTTCTTCCCACCCCCTCCACGCCATTAGATGATTTGTGTGTGCGCAGATATTACTAGAAAATGTGCATTCAATAGCTCATTCTTACACACTAATGAGTGGGTGAAGGGAGGGGGAAGAGAACTCTCACTAATATATGGAGCAGCCAGAACTCTTCCCTTGTATCAGTCGTTGGCTCTGATGGAAAGGGAAGGTCCTGGGATGGTGATGAAGATGAGGATGACCAGTTCAGCAACAGCAGCCACCCAGTGCTTAAGAAAATATTGATTTTGAAGGGTGCTAATATTTATTTCCATGAGACTTGCTTCCAGGTATGTGAGACTGCAATTGCAGGGTTCATGTGCTGACTCAGCCTTCAGAAGGCGTCCTTGTCAATGTAGCCCTCAACCTGTCAGGTTGAAGGGAGTTCCTGGGAGAAAGTCTCAGGTTATCCCTGGGCTTTGAGCCTCCACTGCTCATAGCAGACAGCCTGAAGATGGCCCATCGCAAAACGACCCTTATCCCTAAGACGGAAAGAGAGAAAGCAAGGCTCCCCTCCACCATCACCTCTCCATCCCACCTCCCGATTTGTGGTTACCTCCCAGTGACTTACCAGCGCACGAATTCATCCTTTGCATCCAAGGGTAAACAGGGCTGGTGTACTTCCGGTCGCTGCTTTCCTCGTTCAGGGCTTTGGCTGCCCCGTTTTCGGGCTTGTACTGCTGGTCAGAGGCAAAGCAGGGCAAGTAGTCCCCGGGGTTGCTGGCCCTCGGTTTGCCATTGCCGGAGGGCGAGGAGGCACCGCCCAGGTCCTTGTCCGAGTAGAAGCAAGAGGCTCCATAATCATAGGACGCCCGGTTGCAGGCGATGACCGTGTTGGGGCTGGACTGCTGGAAGAAGCAAGGGGAGGAGTAGGGCTTCTCCTGCAGGCTGCCGGCCCCATAAGAAGCTGGGAAGTGCCTCAGAGCCTCGTAGCCAGCCGCGGGGTGGTAGAGGGGGATCTGCCCCAGGAAGGACTCTTGCCCATTCGACAAGCTTCCCGGGAAAGCGGGATTCACGAAATAGGAACTCATGGACGCTCCCCAGATCCCGGACCGTGATTTGTTGTGTATTAGTACATCTGGCTATAACTATTAGTAGTCATGCGAGTGGTTTGTTTCTGGATGGCCGAGCGCCAAAAGCGACAGCAGCAAATCGCACCAGCTGACGGCGCGGCGACCAATGAGCGAGCGGCGGACGGCCTTCTCCCCCCGGACCCGCCGCTACCGAGCCAGCAAAGTTCCAAACAAGCCCCCTCCCCCGCGCACACACCTCCGCCGCCGCCGCCGCGCCTAGCAGATGGCAACTGGCCACCGGCGCCCAAACGGAGGGCGGGGGGTGGGAGGGAGGAATTGCCCTCGGGTAACCCCCGGGGAGGAAGTGGGTGCTCGTGAGTCTGTAGGGCGAGCGGGATATTCCCACCTCAATGAATGACTCCAGGGAGAGACCCCGAGCGCCGGGCAGCTGACTGCTGGGAGCAAAGAGGCGCCCCCGGAAAGTTAACTTGCCAAACCCGCGGTCTGCCCAGGAGAAGCCAGTTCTCCCCCACGCCCCCCAGTTCATTCACCCTCTTGCCAGGAGCTCGCGGTCTCTGTCCCGGCCCCGCAGAGTCGAAAGCAAAGAAACCGGATGGTGTACAGGCGGTGTCTAAGAAACGCTTAAAACTGGAAACTTGACCAGCCGTCTCCAAAAGGGAGGATCTGCTGGTTTAGAAACAAACCGACGAACAAGAGATCCCGTCATTACCGCCTACCTTCAGGCCCGAGTCAAAAGCCATAAAACGAAGGCGCCCGAGGCACTTGAAATATTTCCCAGCACAATGCAATGGGCAACCGTAATTCAGCCGAGTTGCATGATTTCCCTTTCTTGTTGGTCATGAAACGCGTGTCTACGTGTGTTGGAGACAGTGTGCATGCATCTACATCCCCGTGAATGGCTAAGGAAAAAGATCCCTTCTGTTCAAGATGAACCAGATAATATAATGCAACTAATTTAATTTAATCTTCAGCTATGAGCCGGACAGGAAACGGTGATTCTCCGACACAATTGCTGTTGTTGCTGCTCTTTATTTGTTGTCAGTGGGGGTATTTCAAAGGAAACCTCTCTGAGGATGCCAGCCGCTGCTTTGAAGAGAGGAAATTATTCCAATAAATTTTTCCCCCTGTTGTTAGTCTTTTAACTCCCCAAATGATATCTTTGTAACTTCAGTCTGTTGTTATAATGAATCTCACAGGAAGGTGGGGAGCAATTAAGCCACCCCATCTTTAAAAAAAAGAGAGATCAATAAAACTGAATTAGCAAAAAAAAAAAAAAAAGAAAAGAAAAGAAAAGAAAAGAAAAGAAAAGAAAAGAAAAGAAAAGAAAAGAAAAGAAAACCACTAGTAAAAAGAGTGTCTGCTGATAAGCTCTTTTGAAATCTGCAAACATGGCGGTAATTTCAAAATACAATGGAGAAAATATCTAGGCCTGAAGTTACAAAACTCTTAAGGGAGTGAGAAACCTGGAAAGCAATGAGGTCTTTAACACGGAGGCTGGCAACTTCCGAAATTATTTCCGTTGAATCATCTTGGTCTTACCCCCCAGGAAATATGAATAAGATTAAAGCCCCATATTTTCTGCCAATCGCTTCTGTCGTTTCTCAGGCGTTCTTCCACTTTCAGAATGACCACTTTAATAACTGGCCCTCTGTTGGCTTGAAAACCATAAGGCCTCTGCTCAGTTGGCTATTTTTTATTTCTGAATCTGAATAGGGTATCTATAAAACAGAAGTTAAAATAGCCACCGTCGCCACCGCCACCCCATTCTTGTCACCAGCATTCTTTTGGTCCTTCACAGGAGTTTCACAGAGACCCTTCCAACAATGGATTTTTTTTTCCCTGAAAAGATTTCCTAATCTCCCCCCCACACACACACTAAATGAAGATCTATAAACGTAAATTGTCGGGGTGTCAGGGAAAATACTCCCAAAAGTTGAGAATAGTTATTACTGAATCCAAAAATGAATTCTTTTTAAATATTTTACAACACAAGAAAGCAGAAGAAATGAGACACACACATGCACACACACAGAAAGCTGATTTATACTAATTATCAGCAAACATGGAATCTAAAGTTCCTATAAATGGAGTCCAGGTAAAAAAAAATTTATTAGACTTTACAAAGGATACAATATAGCTAGATATCAGTTCATTTTCATTAGCCAATTGCCAAGTTGTCAAATTTACAAAAATATAAGCAGCTAGGGGAAAATGTAGATTAGGGAATTATTTGTAGATTTAATGCAATAAGCAGGGAATTCTCACCGAACTCTTAAATCCACAGCAAGCATAATTCAGAATAGAAAAAGAGATAAAATCTATACACAGTTACCAGAACACCAATTAGAGTAAATTAAAAAAGAAAAAAGTGGCTGTGGTCCAGCAAATGAAATGGTATTAATAGTACTTTCCCCCTTTCCATCTAGATGTTTGGAGACACACATCTGTTAAACAGAAGTTTTGCAAAGTCTGCACCTTCCCAGAAGAATCCAGACAAATTCTCTGAGATACTTTCTTAATGAAGCAAGGTAAACAGCTTGAGTGGGCCATTGAAAAACACACGGCAAAACAGGTCAAACTTCAGAACTCTTTCAAATAACAACCTCCATTGATTTAAAACGTGTGACTACCACTTTAACAATGAGGGCCTCCCACTCCCCCGCCCTCCCCTCTCCTCTTTCATTCAATCCAAGCCATAAGTCAAAAAAAGTTAGAACACAGGGGCGGGGGGGGGGGGGGGGGGGGGG